CCTCTGCCCATTTTTTGACCGAGTTGTTTGTTTTTTTGTTGTTCAGTTGTGTGGGTTCTTTATATATTATGGAGATTAACCCCTTGCCAGATTATATGATTTGCAATATTTTCTCCCAGCTGGTGGGTTGTATTTTCATTTTGATCCTGGTTTCATGTGCCTTGCAGAAGCTCTTTAGTCTGATGAAGTCCCACTTGTTTATCTTTTCTTTTGTTTCCCTTGTCTGAGTATTCATGGAATTCGAAAATATCCCTCTATGACTGATATCAAAGAGTGTACTGCCTATGTTTTCTTCCAGGATTTTTATAGTTTCAGGTCTTACCTTCAAGTCTGATCCATTTTGAGTTAATTTTCTGTGTATGGCAAAAGAAAATAGTCTACTTTCATATGGCTGTCCAGTTTTCCCACCATCATTTATTGAAGACTTTCTTTTCTCCATTGTATGTTCTTAGCTCCTTTGTCAAAGATTAGCCATCCGTAGATGTGTGGTTTTATTTCTGGGCTTTCAATTCTGTTCCATTGATCTCCGTGTCTGTCTTTGTACCAGTCCCATGCTGTTTAAATTATTATAGCCTTGTAGTATATTTTGAAGTCAGGGATTGTGATGCCTCCAGCTTTGTTCTTTTTTCTCAGGATTGTTTTAGCTTTTTGGGGTCTTTTGTTGCCCCATATGAATTTTAGTATTCTTTGTTCTATTTCCATGAAGAATGTCATTAGGATTCTGAGTGGGATTGCATTGGATCTGTAGATTGCTTTATGTAGTGTGGACATTTTAACTATGTTTATTATTCCAATCCATGTGTGTGGGATGTCTTTCCATTTCTTTATGTCATCATCGATTTCTTTTAACAATGTCTTATAGTTTTCATTGTATAAATCTTTCAGCTCCTTGGTTAAACTTACTCCTAGATATTTTATTCTTTTTGCTGTGTTATGACTGGGATTATCTTCTTGAGTTCTCTTTCTGTTAGTTCGTTATTAGAGTATAGAAATGCAACTGATTTTTGTAAGTTGATTTTGTACCCTGCAACTTTGCAGCAGTTGTTGATTATTTCTAATAGTTTTCCAATGGATTCTTGAGAGTTTTCTGTATATAAGATCATGTCGTCTGCAAACAGCGAGAGTTTCACTTCTTCGTTGCCTATTTGGATTTCTTTTATTCCTTTTTCTTGCCTAATTGCTCTGGCCAAAACCTCCAGTACTATGTGGAATAAGAGTGGTGAGAGTGAGCACCCTTGTCTTATTCCTGTTCTCAGACGAATGACTTTCAGTCTTTCCCCATTGAGTATGATGTTGGCTGTGGGTTTGTCATAAATGGGCTTTATTATGTTGAGATACTTTCCTTCTATACCCTTTTGTTGAGAGTTTTTATCATAAATGATGTTGGATCTTGTCAAATTCTTTCTCTGCATCTATTGAGATGATCAAGTGGTTTTTATTCCTGGTTCTGTTAATGTGGTGTATCACATTGATTGATTTGTGGATGTTGAACCATCCCTGTGTCCCTGGTATAAATCCCACTTGATCATGGTGTAGGATCTTTTTAATGTATTGCTGTATTTGGTTTGCCAATATTTTGTTGAGGATTTTTGCATCAATGTTCATCGGGGATATTGGCCTGTAATTTTCCTTCTTTGTATTGTCCTTGTCTGGGTTTGCTATCAGGGTGATGTTGACCTCATAGAATGTGTTAGGAAGTGTTCCATCTTCCTCTGTTTTTTGGAATATTTTGAGAAGATGGGTATTAAATCTTCTTTGAATGTTTGGTAAAATTCTCCAGAGAAGCCATCTGGTCCTGAACTTTTGTTTTTTGGGAGGTTTTTGATTGCTGTTTCAATCTCTTTACTTGTGATTGGTCTATTCAGGGTCTCCATTTCTCCTTGATTCCATTTTGGGAGGTTCTATGAGTCTAAGAATTTATCCATTTCTTCCAGATTGTCCAATTTGTTGGCATATAGTTTTTTAAGTATTCTCTTATAATCCTTTGTATTTCTGTGGTATCCATTGTGATTTCTCCAATTTCATTTCTAATTTTATTTATTTGAGCCTTCTCTCTTTTTGTCTTAGTGAGACTGGCTAAGGATTTGTCAATTTTGTTTATCTTCTCAAAGAACCAGCTCTTTGTTTCATTGATCATTTCTACTGATTTATTTGGTTTCAGTTTCATTTATTTCTGCTCTAATTTTTATTATTTCCCTCCTTCTGCTGACTTTGGTCTTTGTTTGTTCTTCTTTTTCTAATTCTGTTATGTGTAGTTTAAGGTTGCTTATTTGGGATTTTTCTTGTTTGTTAAGGTGGGCCTGTATAGCTGTGAGTTTCCTCTCAGGACAGCTTTTGTTGCATCCCATATGAGTTGGTATGGTGTATTTTCATTTTAATTTGTCTCCAGATATTTTTTGATTTCTCCTTTAATTTTTTTAATGATCCATTGGTTGTTCAGTAGCATGTTGTTTAGTCTCCACATATTTCTGACTTTCCCAGTTTTTTTTCTTGTAGTTGATTTCTAGTTTCATAGCATTATGGTCAGAAAAGATGCTTGTTATGATTTCAATCTTCTTAAATTTATAGAGGCTTGCCTTGTTTCCCAACATATGGTCTATCCTTGAGAATGTTCCATGTGCACTTGAGAAGAATGTGTAATCTGCTGTGTTTGGATGGAGTGCTCTATATATATCTATTAAGTCCATCTCATCTAGTTTTTCATTTAAGTCCACTATTTCCTTATTGACTTTCTGTCTGGATGATCTATCCGTTGATGCAAGTGGGGTGTTAGGATCCCCTACTATTATTGTGTTGTTGTTAATATCTCCTTTTTGGTTTGTTAATAGTTGCTTTATGTACTTTGGTGCTTCTGTGTTGGGTGAAAATATATTTATAAGTGATATCTCTTCTTGGTGGAGTGTCCCTTTTATCATTATTTATTGCCCTTCTTTGTCTCTCATTATCTGTTTTATCTTGAAGTCTACTATAAGTATGGCAACACCTGCTTTCTTTTGTTTGCCATTATCTTGGAATATTGTCTTCCATCCTTTCCCTCTGAGCCTGGGTTAGTCTTTAGAGCTGAGATGTGTTTCCTGGAGGCAGCATATTGTTGGACCTTGTTTTTTAATCCATCCCGTCACTGTGTGTCTTTTGATTGGAGAATTCAATCCATTTACATTTAGAGTGGTTATTGATATATGAAGACTTAATGTTGTTATTTTATGGCTCATTTTCTGGTTCTTTTGCATTTTCTTTTTTTCTCGTCCTGTGTGTTTCGGACTATCAATTCAGTTTGGTATTTCTGTATGATGGTTTTCTTAGTTTTCTCTTTATTTATTGCATGTGTCTCTGTTTGTTTGTTTAGTGGTTACCTTGAGGTTTGCATAAAAAATCTCATAGATGAGATAGTCCATTTTCTGATGGCCTCTTATTTCTTTGGACTAAGAAGATTCCATCCCTTTCCTCTTCCCCTTCTAAGTTATTATTGTTACAACTTATTCCATCTTGTGTTGTGAGTTTATGTTTAAAGTGATGAGGTTATATTTATTTTTGGTGTTTTCCTTCCCTTAATCTTTGATGTTATAGTTAAGAGTTTGATAACCTATTCTGATAGAGAGCTGCAATTTTTCTGATTTTGTCTACCTAGTTTTCTCCTTGCTCAAAGCTTTGTATCCCCTTTCTCTTTTTTTTTTTTCAGGCGTGAGGGCCTTCTTGAACATTTCTTGTAGTGGGGATCTTGTGGCAATGAACTCCCTTAGCTTTTGTTTATCTGGGATAGTTATTATTTCTCCATCATATCTCCATCTTTCTGCTGGATAGAGTATTCTTGGCTGAAAGTTTTTGTCTTTCAGAATTTTGAATATATCATTCCACTCTCTCCTAGCCTGTAAAGTTTCTGCCGAGAAATCAGCTGAGAGCCTGATAGGAATTCCTTTGCATGTTATTATTATTATTATTTTTGTCTTGCTGCCCTTAATATTTTTTCTTTATCATTGACTTTTGACAGCTTTACTACTATATGCCTTGGAGAGGGTTTTTTCATATTGATATATTTAGGAGATCTACTGATTTCATTTACTTGTATTTCCAGCTCCTTCCCCAAGTTTGGGAAGTTCTCAGCTATTATTTCTTTGAACAAGCTCTCTGCTCATTTTTCCCTCTCTTCTCTCTCTGGAATACCTATAATCCTTATGTTGCATTTCCTAATTGAATCGAATATTTCTCGGAGAATTTCTTCATTTCTTTTTAATCTTAGTTCTCTCCTCCTCCATCTGGAGAATTTCTTCATTCCTATCCTCAATATTGCTAATTCTTTCTTCCATACTGTCAGCTCTGTTCTTTAAAGATTCCAGATTTTTATTTATCTCCTCCATTGTGTTTTTCATCTCCAACATTTCTGATTGGTTTTGCTTTATAGTTTCAATCTCTTTTGTGAAGATGTTCCTGATTTCATTGAATTGTCTATCTGTATTTTCTTCTAGTTTGTTGAGCTTTTTTTATGATAGCTATTTTGAATTCTCTGTCATTTAGGTTATAAATTTCTGTGTCTTCAGGATTGATTTCTGGGTGCTTGTCATTTTCCTTCTGATCTGGAGATTTAATATGTTTTTGCATACTGCTTGAGGGCATGGGCTTATTTTTCCTCATTCTGAAAATATCTGGTGGCAGCTTCCACCTGCCGCCACTGGTTGGGGTTCAAGAGCTGTGTATTCTGAGCCCGCTGTGATCTGTGGGTGCTCTGGCTGACTGGCTGTGCTGGCACTCCTGGTGGGGGGAGGGGCTCTTTCTTTCACCTACCCAATTCTGGGGGCTTCTCGCTTTTCCTATGCTATCTGCTCTCCTGGGGTGCTAGCTGGATGAAGGCACCCCTGCAACAGTTCAGTCCCCTCTGTATGGGAATTTCCCACAGGTTGTGAGAGAACTTGGAGAGTGACAATTTTCCCAAAAAGGGCTGCCCCTCCCACTTTCTCTCAGAGAGCTGCGCAGTCCTGGTCCCAGGGTTGATGTCATTGGGAAAGGAGAGGAGTTCTCCTTACCTCCTTCTACTTCCTCCAGGAGTACCAGCACCTCCCCTTCAGATGTAAGGCTGTATGGGTCTCTCAGACATCTTTTGTGTTGTATGAACGTTCTCTGTTGATATATGAATGTCCTTTTTGTTGTATCTGAGTGGGGGAGAGTCTAAGGGGGAAATCTCACTCCGTCATGATGCTGATGTCACTCCTCATTCTCAAAACGAAGGTTTTAATACAGCGATACCAAAAGTTAGATGGGTCAAAGCGAGTCCTTGCTGGTCTCCCCAAATTAAAGGGCCCAAACAAGTCTGCTCTATTTATCTCAATTTGGAGTAATTTTAAAATCTGGAAAGTAGAGATTACTATGAGAAACCTGACCAGCAATCACTTAGAGCAATGGTTAGGCAGATTAATCAGGTTAAAGATTGACAAAAGGGACAGAATCCCTTGCCTGACCCCTTGATAGGGACCCAAAACCTTTTGCACAAGAGTGAGTAAAATGGTCTGGGGATGGAGAAAAGAAGTTTCTAGGACTCCTTGATAGAGGAGTCCCAGGAACTGTGGTACCAAAACCCATTTGTGAAGCCCTGACTCGTGCTACAATTAGACTGAGAGAATGTTAAAGTATAATGGTTGACAGGATTATGAAAGTCTGAATGTTTAAGCAGATATTATGTAAAGAAGTTGTGGCAGCTTTACTTGAATGTTTTATGGGAATGGATATTATGTCTGGCTGGGGAATACATCCCCTACTCAGCATTGTAAAACCAAAACTTGTTGATGAAGTCTCAAGGGAGGTCACAGTTAGGAATGTAAGGGTTTGATGGAATTAAGATAAAAGCTTATAGGAGAATTAGTATGTTTGAACAGGCTTTATGTGAAGTGGTTGCATCTTTTACCTGATTGTATTATGGGGATGGACATTGTGTTTGACTGTGGAACATTTCCCCTGCTGAGTAGTATAAACAGAAGGCATGTAAATCCACCCTTCAAACAATATTAATTGGATATGATGAATGGGAACCAGTAAGAGTGCTTGAGCCCACACAGTGTAGAATAGAACCTGGAGTGCTGGTATGGGCAAATTCTCTGTGCTATTGCCCTATGTGGGGCATAGACTAGAGTTTATGGCAAGAGCCTATGAGTGCCACCCAGCAATGACTCCTGGTCCTTTGGACTAGAGGATTTCCTTTAGAAGGGCATTTACTACCTTGCTCTCTGACATTATTAATTGAAACTACCTCTAAGACTGAAGAACATAAAATGGTCTTGAAACCTGAAATGGCTACAATGTCTTGGGTGATGTCAGAGAAACACTCTTATGGGGATGGCAGTGCCCAGAAGAGTTCCTTAGTAAAACAGAAATGGTTTATACAGGATCATACTGCCTGGGGAATGCAAGGAGGACATACTCACGAGCAGGGAGTCTCTTTTCCCCTTGGACTGACCCTGGAGCCATGTGTGAGGAACTCCTGGATTCATAAAAGGTAAAAACAGATCATCTTGGTGGGCTGAATTGCATGTTGTTTTCCTAGCAGTGATGGAAGAACTGAATGGTGGTAAAAGCTCCTATGTTTGGGTTTTTACTGACTCATGAGCAGTAGCCAGTGGCCTTACCATACAGTTGGGCAGAATGGCAATGGAAATCTGGCCTATTAAAAGGATGCCCATATGGGGCACAGCCTTATGGGAATTTGAGGGGTGCATTAAAGTAGAACATGTCGATGCCCATCAGGTTTTGAAGGTGATTGGAATTGACAAGGAGGTATCCTTGTGTACTTGCTTAAAGTAGCCATCTGGGTCTATGAAATAAGTAGACATTGGGGGTCTGCAGCAATGCAGATGGGCTGAATCTAGACATATTCCTCTCATACCGTCTGAGGCACAAAATGCCAATAAGAATTGTTCTGTCTGCCAGCAAAAGAGACAGAGACTGCAGATAGCTATGTGGCAGGTTCCCTGATGGGAAGGCCCTGAGAATAACTGGCAAGTCAGACTGATGCTGGTAGCACTGGGGGGCTATAAATGTGTCCTGACAGGACAGGACACTGACCCTAGACTGGGCTTTGCTTACCTGGTGGTAGATGCAAATGCTCTGAGTGCCATAAAAGAACTGGAATAGAAGACATTGCACCAATTTGAGTGGCTGAGCATTATTTCTTCAGACCAAGGATCTCACTTTACAGCTGATAATATCCAACAATGGGCAGAGTGATATTCTGCTCAGACTACTAGTTTGATCGAGAAATGGAACGAGAAATTAAAACATTGGTTGTCTAAAACAGAGGGAGATAAAAGCATGAAGGTCTGGCTTACATGCCTTTACAAGTGTGTGCTCACACTCAACATGAACCTGAGTGGGGCTAAAGGAGTGTCCCCACTGGGTAGATTTCTCTGTTTTTCTGGTGGATCTGGGAAAGAGGGGGTGGGGAAGGTGCCGGTATACTTTCTTCCCCACATCACTTCAACTTGTTTCCTCCTACTTGATGCAGTGGTCACAGGACCAGGGCTGCAACTACAGGGCTGGAAGCAGGGATGATTCCTAAGCAAGAAATTGTAATTGTTTTTAACCTTCATGTCACAATTCCTAAGAGCCAGATGGGACAGGATGTGCCTTCACCCCATCTGCTAAATTGGGATTAACAGTGAATGCAGCTATATTGCCTGGTGGTAAAAATAGCCCACTAGTTGCGCCTGTGTAAACTTACCCTATGTGAACAAGAGCGGACTGACAAGGAGGCACTTGCTAGACTAACTAGTATTGCTGCCTGCTATCTAGGCCAGTACAGTGGCTGAACTTAACGTTCCTTCTAAAGATGGAAAAGCTTGGGTATAAATGGAGAGAAGAAAAAATAGTAGCTGAAGGTAAGGAAATGAATAAATGAGTTATGCCATTAATGAGGGAAATCCAATATTACATTAACACCTCAAAAGAGGTTCGAAGCAAAAGAAGATATTGTCTCTTAGCTCAATTATGCCAGATGCCTGAAAGGGTGAAGCCGTATATTGCTGAGACCACTCCTGCTTTTGGAACCTGACAAGATCGATGGAAGCCTGCAAACCTGAGTCACCTCACCCTGGGAGACATTTCATACAGTATGATGATGGACTGGATAGTTGTAAATGACTGAATGAGATTCTAATAATGTTGTCTTTGACTAATTGCCCTGAGGAACTCAAGGGAGGTTTCGGGAGCATTGAACTGTTTCTCCAAATTGTTTTTTCTTTTTTGTTATGTTAAGACATACAATCATCAACCACCCTAAACCAGTCCAAACCCCACTGCAAGAGCAACGCCTGGGTAGATGGGCTGAAAATTGCCCAAGAGATGACCTTTGTTTCGTTTTAATGCTAAGATCTCCCCTCCAGGAGGAGCTTAGGCCCTATTACCATAACATGCGTTGTATGAGGAAGCATGCTTTCCAACTGAGGCTGCGCAAGCGAATACTCAGCTCTTTCTTTTGAATATTCATTCCCCATCTGAAATAAAAGGCCCCTGTGTTGTCCTGTGCTAGGAGAGCCACAGCTTTGTGAAATAATTTCCCTGTGGGCTCCTTATTTCTGACAAATAAACTTTACTTTGTGTGGCAACTACTTCTGGTGAAGGTTCTGATTTCAACTCACCAAGAAGTGGACCCACTTTGGTTCAGTAACAATATGCCAGTACCTTTTGACTTTTATGACTATTTTGCTATAAGGGATCTATATTTGAAGACCAGGGGATGATATGATTTATAATAAGAAATATATATGTTGTCTGTGTCCCATTTCTGGCACAGAGCTATTAAAACCCTTGGAATTTGTTGAGTGATAAAAGCCATAATGGCATCTTTTGTTACAAGAGTGACTTTTGGACCTCATCTAAGGATAGGAGCTGGTTGGCAGTGGAGCCAACCATGTGATCAGAGTATTGGAACTTTCAGTCCCACCTGTCTGACTTCTGGGGGAGAGGGGCTGTAGGTTGAATCAGTTACCAGTAGCCAATGATTTAATCAATCATGCCTCTGTAATGAAGACTCCATAAAAACCCAAAAGGACTGGATTTGGAGAACTTCTGGATTGGTGAATATGTGGAGGTGTAGGGGAGAGCAGCATGCTCTTCTGTCATACTTTGCCCTATGCATCTCTTCCCTCTGACTCTCCCTGAGTTATATCCTTTTATAATGAACTGGTAATCTAGTGAGTAAATGGGTTTCCTGAGTTCTGTGAGCCGCTCTAGCAAATTAATCGAACCCAAGGAGGGGGTTGTGGGAACCTCTGATTTATAGCCAGTCAATCAGAAGTACAGATGCTAACCTGGACTTGCGATTGGCATCTGGAGTGGAGGGGCAGGGAGCAGTCTTGTGGGGCTGAGCCCTTAACCTGTGGAACCTGACGCTATCTCTGGGTAGTTAGGGTCAGAATTGAGTTAAATAGTAGGACACCCTGCTGGTGTCTGAGAATTGCTTGTTGGTGTGGGGAATGCCCCCCTCCCACCCACATACTCCTACCCATTGGAATTGGTGACCAGAACCTTTTAGGAGAAAAAGAAATGGGTCCAGAAAGGGAGATAATGGATTGACAAAGCATGAGATATTAAAGATCTGGGAGTCTCAATTAATCTGAAGGCTCTATGCTACAGGAATAAAGAAGTAAAAAAGCAGAGAATCTGGAAAGGGAGGAGGAGGCTGTAGTCAGAGAGGGAGTGAAATACTGGAAATTAAAATTTCAAAAGTAAAGAAATTGGGGGTAATGATTACATGTAGAATACGGTCTTGGATAGTAGAGGTGAACATCATAAATGGGGAAGAGATCAAAACAACTTGCAAGTAGAGTATTGACAGCATGGACTACTAGTTAATTCTTGCTGTGGTAGCAAACCTCAATATCTGAGAGGTTTATAAAAATGAAAACCTCTTTTGTTCATGTCAGGATAAGAACCTGGCTCTGTTGGACTTCACCGCATGTCCAAGCCAACCAAGCAGCCACTTTTTGGGATGTGCTGTTCTGATGGTGGAGAACAAAAGGAAAGAGACAGTATCAAACAATGGAGCATACTTAAAGGTTCGGCCTATATGTGGTGCGCCTCCTGTTCACTTACATTCCATTGGCCAAAGCAAGTGGCGTGGCCTCTACCAAAATCAATGATGTAGGAGAATCAGTTGCCTACAGGGAAATATGGTGAATAACTAATACAATCTACCATAGCTGATAGCTTGGATACTGATGTTGTCCCAGATGTTATGGGTTCTCACTAGGAAGAGGAAGATTGTAAGCCAGTTGCCAAAGCTTAAAAAGATAATCATTGTAATAGCTAGAAATTTAGCTAATATCATCATAAACCTCTCAAAAAAAGAACATGTTAGTATTAAAACTGAGGGGGGACGATAATCTAACTTTGGAATTTGTATGCTTTATATCATCTTGTAAAACTATATCCTTCAACTCAAAACCAAGTAAGTGGTTCAGCAAAGCGAAATAAATGTAGTGAACTAGATACAGATCTGTAAAAGCTCATCACATTTACTGTTTTCCTTTTTCAGCAATTTCTGTTTTAAAAATAATCATAATCTCACTACCTTTTCCTGTTGATCAATCAACGTGCAGGAGAGAAATGGCAGTCCACTGAGTGGGTGGGAAACTCTTCACGTCTACAATCAAAAGTTTGGCTAACTTCTTGTATTTTTTTTTTTTGCATTTAATTAGACACTAAAGATATAGAGATATTATTTTCTTGGAAAGTTCAACTAGTTGCATGACTAAGCTTTAATTAAAACAAGGACCTGGTTCTGCTTCTGCTGTGTCCTGGGAAGAAGTACCCACAGGAATCCCTTGATAAGACTCTCTTCAGAACTTTGTAACTTCAGCTTGTTACAAAGGAGTGAGAAGTGAAAACTTATACCCACTCCTACATATAGTTTTCCCCTGGAGTCTCTGATGTTCTAGATCTATCAAAATCTAGATCTATCAAAGTCATAAGAAAGGGAATACTATATGATATATTATACTTGATAATGATGAAAATAGCTATCATTTATTGATCTAAGTACCAGGCACTTTCTTTGTACAGAGATTGCCCTAATTGAATCATCATAATGACAACTCTATAAAGCAAGTGTTCTTATCAGATCCATTTCATAATTGAGTAAACTACAGCATGACAAGTTTAAGTTACACAAGTTACATGTATAATAAGTAATGGAATCAGGATTCAAATCTAGGGAGTGTGGCTCCAAAGCCTGAATTAACCGATACAATATACTTGTGGTTCCCAAACTGTGTGCCAAGAGACCTGGGGATACTCTCCAACACATGGAGTTACGTTGGGATATTTTAATTTTTCTAGAGAAACATCTCTTAGATACCGTGTAGATTACTATATCAAAGTCATTTGGACCTAATTACTTAATTAATGGAATTGTTAGGTATTTCTTTTGGCCTAGGGGCATCATGAAAAAATTCCTGAGACATTGAGAGTATTGTAAACTGTGAATGTTTGAGAACTTCTGCAATATTCTGTCTCCATACAGCAACTTAGGTGCATAACAAGATTCCAGACATTACTATTCATTGGCCACTGGCATCTCTTGCATCTGAATCATTAGCATTATTGTTTCTAATTAATTTTTTCTATTAAAATTGTTAGCATTTTTTTCATTTTAATCATTACAATTAGCATTATTATTTCATATAGTTGTCATCATATTTAGAAATAAGCTTGGCTAAAAAAAAAAATTATAAGGAGGTTTGTCTGCTTTGTTTTGCCCACTCTGGGTACCTGAATATTGAATCTAATAGGAAGGGTCCACCTGACCCAGGTATTTTTGTGTAGGAAATTTTAACTCAGGACCTTATATCAAATTGAAAAAGTATGTACTGAGATTAGCTAACCACACAGTCTGTGATGGGAACTGTATGTAGTTTAATGTATAAGTTTATATTTGAGAAATATTCTCAAATTTCTCAAGAAAGTTCTGGTATTAAATTGGTTTCTGGTATGGGTCTTCAGTTCCTCTTCCCTAAAAATTTGGTGATAATTCTTAACTACTATAGTCACAGAAACAGTTCAGGTCAGGACTAAAATTTTCTTCTAGATTTTTGGAATCCACTGTGATGGTCCACTTTGTCTTGTACGATACGCATTTCTTGCTTCAGGGCACTTATTATTAACCACTAAGCATTCTTAATCTTTGCTTAAGCACTTATTCACGGTTTATATTGAATTCTTAGTATTGATTAGCCATGTTCTTTGGAAGGGTTTGCTTTCATCTGATAGTCTCTGCTAGTTGCTGGCCACCTCTAATTCTCACTATAGAAAATAATAGGACAAAGCTGTATTTTTCTACTTTTCTAACCTGATTATTCTGGGCTTGCCTTTTCTCTGAAGTAATAATGATTAGACAGCCAAGGCAATGAGAGGCATGTTTAAAACCTTTTGAATTAAGATGAATTCTCTCTGCTTGGCATCTGTCAATCAAATGGATTCCCCATTCCTCAGCAACCTGACTTGACTTACCTAAAGCCATTAAATGTGAATCTTCACCTACTCTCCACTGAGTAAGAGTAGCTGGAGTCTTCCTGCCCAATAACCTGCCTAGAATTGGGTGACCTTGTTGACATACATTAGTATTATGGGCTGAAGGTTTATGTCTCCTCGAAATTCATATGTTGAGGCCCTAACCTTCAGTGTGATTGGCATTTGGAGATGAAGCCTTTGGGAGGTAATTAGGGTTGGGTAAGGTCATAAAGGTGGGGCCCTCACGATAAGATTAGTGCCCTTATAAGAAGAGACACGAGAGTGGTTCCCATACACCCACCCCATGTGAGAACACAGCAAGAAGGCAGCCATCTACAAGCCAGGGAGAGAACTCTCACCAGAACCCCACCATACTGGCACCCTGACCACAGACTTCCAGCCTCCAGAACTGTGAGAAAATAAATTTCTGTTGTTTAAGCCACCCAATCTGTGGTATTTCATTACGGCAGATCTAGCTGGCTAATAATGTAGGTTCTCAAAATTTTTGATTGCTTGTTTGATTGATCCTCAGCATCTTAATTTTGTCAACTAATTTCTTTTAACTCAGCCCAACAACCTACGGACACTATGAATTGAATCAAATAAGGTCATACAAATCTTTAGCAAAGCATCAATCTATTTTTCCTGAAATGAACAAACAGATCCTCCAATCTTCTTTTCATTGGGCTGAAGAGACTCAGTCACCAATTGATGTCTTTAGAGTGAATTCACCAAAGAAATGTAGACAAGCAGTGTGGACTTCTACTGCTTAGAAAATGGACCACTATTGCTGCTAGAGCACATAACTCAGCCATGAGTGAGACTGTAGCTGGTCTGGGACTTCCTAGGAAAGGTTCAGAGATTGCTTCAAATGTTAGAACATGCCTGAATAGCATTAATGATAATAACAAGAACCATAAACAAGTACAATCACATTAAGCCTAAAAGGCAGAATGTGCTGGCATGACAGATGATTCATTGCATTTTATGTTGAAATCAATATAATTTTAGTAATTTGAGGGAATGACTCTATGAGTGAAGTTTCCACTTTTTTTTCTGATATGTTGAAAACTTTTCTGAAAGATGAGCTTGTTTATAGTTTCTTTGGTGAATATTAATTGAGAATTGAAGGCAAATCTTAGCATGCCAATAACCCTGCTTTTCTGCAAAAAGTGGAAAAATGAGCACTGTGTTTTATTTCATACTCCATTGAGCTTGTTGTGAGTTGAGACAAATTTAGCATCCAAATATTTATATAACTCCTGTATGCTGTGATATTGTATCCTATTGAGAACTCACCCCTGAGAGTTTCCTCACTGGATTCATATAAACAAAATCTTAATTAAAACATGAAGGCTTAATTTTAGCCTTGTAAGAGATGTCAATTTATCAATTTCATATTTTCCCCTTCATCATTACCATTTTGATAGATCTTTCTGGTTTTGACCCTCGTCCATATTCTATTTTTCATATTTAATATTTTAAGACATCTTTCTTTCTGGGGCTATGTCTCAAAATCTGTTTCAAATAGAAGACAGCTCCCCAGTGCTGGGCCTGATGCTGACTGATGCTAGGAAGGCTTTATAAGAATATACTATTAATCTTTAAAAAAAATGTTGACTCTGGTATGCAAGCTCCAGAAATGCTGATCTCATAGGTCTGGGGTATGGTCTAGGGATCTATATTTTTTAAAAAATCTCCCCATTTTCTCTTGATGTGCAGCCAAGAATAAGGACCACCGAAATGAGCAGTTTTAGCTGACACCTTTCTTATTTGTGATGACCGAGCCCATAGTTGGATATTGTAGAGTGCTTGCTCTGTGAAACAAAGTTGAATTCATCAAAAGAGTATGTAGGTTTGAATAAAGCCTATCTTTCCTTGGCCTGAGCTTCTTAATTTGTAGAATAAAACATCTGAATTGTTTCTAAGAGTTGATGAGCTTGTAATGCAAACAGATTTCTTTTAGTTCTGAATTATTTAGAAAGGTTCTCCATTATGTCTTTACGAGCAGTTTTAGTCTTTGCTATTTTCTAAGATGATTCCGGTTAGCATGGTAATACAATTTATTCTTGGTGAAATTATGTATCCACCACCCAGTCAGAGGTTTATTTTTCTTCACATGGCACTATGTCGGGCTCTTTGAAATATTTACCTTTGCTCTGAGGCTACACGTCTTCATTAGGCCTGATTGGATATATAATTGACTTGGGAAAATTTATCACTATTATTGAAACAATAATACAAAATATACGGCCTACTGATCCTAGGCTATTTATCTTGCCTTTATATTAGAAATAAAATGTATAGAGATAAGACACACAAGAAATTATTTAATGCTGTAATCACTTGATCGAAAATTAATAAGCTAGTGAATTTTGGGTACTTCTTATATGCCAGGCACCAAGAAGGAAAAGATAATAAAAAAATGAGAAAAATCAGTCTAGTAGAAAAGAAAAATCTTCTACCTCATTTCATCATTTAAACTTGCAATGATAAAAAAATTGGTAGCTACTACAAAAGCACATAAGAAAGGTACTGAAATCATTCTACAGAACTAAAGAAAGCTTTTGGTGGAGGTGACACCTGGGTATTATTTTAGAAGAATTAACCAGGGATGGGTAAATGGAAGGATGTTCTAGGCAGGGAAGATAGCATGAGCAAAGTCATGGAGGTTAGACGTCATGGTGTGTTTTTTTGAGACTGAAAATACTTTGGTTTGCTTAAAAATCAAATGTAAACAAGGAAAAAAAGA